TATTTTGGCCCTGGCCCTTCAAGGTCAACAAGATCCCAAGAAATGAGGGAATCTTTTTTACAATTCCTACAACTTTGGTGAGTCGCCCAAATTCCTGAACAAGGAGACTGCTGGACCCCAGCCAGAGGATAGGAATCAACAAGTGTACATTGTGCCAAAGGAGGGTCACTAAGAGGAAGGAGTCTCCCATGTTTTCACAGAAAGCATAAATTGCTCTAAAAAATGCCTAAGGAAACAACTGATCTTGATAGACAGCAAGAGTATAATTTGATTAACACAGGTCTCTCTCTTTTTTATGTATTTAGTACAGGGTATACAGGGTCTCACTATGTAGATTAGACTCGCAGTGATTCTCCTGTTTTCAGCCTCCCAAGTACTGGGCTTACAGGTGCACGCCACCACACTCAGTCTCAATTGCCATGTCAGTGCGCTGGGGGGTGGGGATGGGGGTGGGGCTGGTATGGCAAGCCAGGGATTGAACCCTGGCCACTGCACTCTGCCTAAGCAGGGACTTTAGTTCAATGAGCTATCTGGCCACCCACAGGTCTCATTTTAACTTGGTCATGAACAGAAAAGTATAACCAAAAAATATATAAAACAGGATCATAATAATAAGTTAGATAGAAAAAGGAAGTCCAATTGCTGACCCTTCTGGCAATTTCCTGCTATACTAGTTGTTAACCACTGTTATGGGAAAAAAATGAAAAACTAAAACCGAACCAATAAACGCTCAACAAAAGTCTTTAAATTCTTTAGCTAAAACTAGGAAGACATGATAAAATATCAGATTCGATCAATAAAGATATCTAAGATTTAGTGGGTTTACAATCACTATTACAGTCCCGTAGGAGCAGACATTTGAACAGGAAAGTGGAATGACCCAGTGCAGTTGAAAACACAGGGTCAAGGGCATGCTTGTGTATTAACAGGCAATCAAATGCCATTGTGGCTGCCCTCATGGCACATGTGACCATTGGACCACGGAAAGAGGAATATCGCATCCCCATAGTGGAGCCTGTTTCCCTGTAGTCCTCCAGCATGAGCATTCTTGAGAATGACTCTAGAGGACAGCCCAATACATCAAATACTGAGCTCCACACAGCCTATGAGACCTATGATATGGGGACAGCTGAAGAAGACAACACAGGAGGCTCAAACACTGATGATGTGACAGGGCCTCCCACAATCTCTTGAGAATATGTTTGCTCCTATAATGGCCATCATAGGCTATATACTGGTTTTTTTTGTTGTTGTTGTTGTTGTTTGGTTTTTTTTTGGTGGAACTGGGGATCGAATTCAAGCCCTTGTGCTTGCCAGGGAAGCGCTTATTCCACTGAGCCATCTCCCTGGCTCCTATATACTGTTTTTTTAAACTGCTGCAATCACAAAAACAAAAAGGGAGAAATATTAGGAACCACAAATTATGAATTGAGGGTAGGGCCTGGAGGCCTTGATGATGGCCTTAATGGTCTCATGATGCTGTGGCCCTTCTGGGAAGATTACATCAATATTAGATCTTTGTCAATTTAAAATAATCACCACCCTCTGAGTCATCTGGTAAGCCCTTAGATTATTGTGTATGCTCAATAAATGGTGGCTAGCATGGAGTGTCATTCTCTCTGCCCATACTGAGGCATTGACCTCCCAGACCCCCTTTTATGGATTAGTAATTTTTTTATCCTTCACTATACCCCTCATACAAAGCAATTGGGGTTCATGGCCAGTTCCTCAATAGGAGAAAATGTTATTAAATGTAGATTCAGCTTAAAGGAGGGTCATGTATTTGGCCATTACATTGTGAATAGCTCAAAAAATGAAGCAATACTTTGATATTTAAAGACCATTATGCCGCTCAGAAAAGAAGTCATTGATATCATTGATGAATGACTATAGCACCAAGATATAAATCTTTTTTTAAAAAAATTTATTTATTTGTGTGTGTGTCTGGCCAGCTCAGCCCACCAGGGGGCGGGGCTGGCTGGCATGTGGTGCTGGGGATTGAACCGCGGTCCCTGTGCTTTGCTAAGCTTGTTCTAAGTAGGTGCTTTAGACCACTGAGCCATCTCACCAGCCCCAAGATCTAAATCTTTCTTTTCTTTTCTTTTGCGGTACTGGGGAATCGAACTCAGGACCCTGCACTTGCCAGGCAGGCCCTGTGCCATTGAGCCGTCTTGCTGTCCTTAAGATATAAATCTTTGTCAGAAAACTTATTACTTAACCTAAATGAAAATATCAGCCAACATTCATGTCAGAAAATGAGTTCATCAACAGCAACTATAAGCTAAGGATACAAATGCTTGGCAAAAAATCAACAAAAGTATTCTGTGAGAATTTAATGTTATTTAAAAGTTATTTCCTGAGGTATGTGTTTTAAGTTTTCTGTTTTAAAGTATCTGTAAAAAAAAAGTGTCCGTGATGAAGGGCTTTAATCTTTTAAAAGTCAATTTTATTATTTATTTTTTGGTACTGGACATTAAACTCAGGACCTCATGCTTTCCAGGCAAGTGCTATGTCACTCAGCTAAATCCCTAGCCCCCAAAAATGCCAATTTAAAAAATGCCTTTACTAAAGCAATCTGAAGATAAAGTTTAGGTCATTACTAGATCTGAAGCTGGCAGGATGAAGTTCTCCCTCCCAGATGAGAAAATGAACTGATTTAGATTTTATAAGCTTAGTGCACTCTTTAAAAGTTATTGCCATATAGGGAAGAAAATATAGGAGTCAGAAGGAAACAGCATTATAGCTTTTTAATTAAACCTAGAAAGGAAGTTCCTTCAGCAATGTAATATAGAAATTATTTGTTTATATTTGTAAGGAACTAAAATGTAAGCAGTAAGCTGTTAAAATTTCTGTTCTAAACCAATAGTGGCAAACCTATGGCTTGCATGCCAGTGGGTGTGCAGAGCTCTCTGTTGGCACTGAAGCCAAGTTGCCCCAGCAGCCAAGCATCAGGTAACAATTGTTTTTTCTAAACTAAAACCTCAGTATTGGGGGCCGGGGAGATAGCTCAGTATAATAAGCACTTGTCTGGCAAGTGCAGGGTCCTGAGCTCAATCCCCGGTACCGCAAAAAGCAAAAACCCTCAGTATTCTTTTTTTCTTTTTTAACCTCAGTATTCTGGTTTAACTGTAGTGTGGCCACTTCGCAATAAATAAGTGGATTTTGGGTTGCACTTTGGGCACTTGGTCTCTACAAGGTTCACCATCACTGGTCAAAACTAAACAGAAAAACCTGGCCCTAAGAACCAAATTGTATATCAGTATTAGTGATGAGTTGGGAAAGGCTTCCTTGAATTTTGTGTAGAGTTTTTTTTATTTTAAGTGATTAATACAGATATGGTTTGCTGAAGTGAAACCAAATGTCTGAGTGTGTGTGAGTGGTGTATATGTTTGCCTCTAGTAACCATACTTATTTTAAAAAATAATTTTTCCCTTCTTGGAAAGTGTTGTGGGGGCCAGTGATGATGAATAGGGTTTCCACCTACTTTTCTCTACAGGAACAGACATGATATTTACTCTTAGCTGACTGATAGGTCTTTATTCCCCAAGGTTGAGCATGGAAGCCAGGAGGGGAATGCCAGTTCACTGAGCTTTTATGCCCTCATTTATACATTAAGCAGACCACAACCTTTTAAAAATACATAAAGACGGGCCGGAGAGATGGCTCAGTAGGATAAGTGCTTCCCTGGCAAGTGCAAGGGCCTAAGTTCAATCCCCGGTTCTGCAAAAAAAAAAAAAAAAAAAAAGACAAGTATTTGTCAGTGCCTGATCATCATCTGTGGAGACAGTCTGGTGACTGCGTCTCAGAAGGGAGATGGACTTTTCCCTTAAGATCATAGTAGAAGCATTGCTTCACTGGGAAACACTTGAGTGAAAGCAGAGGCAGACAGGGTGATTAAAGGTCAGAAAAGACCAAAAGTCAGGCACTGTGGTGCTCCTCTATAATTCCAGAACTCTGGAAAGTTCAGGCAGATCTGCAAGTTTGAACATAACATGGGCAATTTAGCAAGAGCCTGTCTCAAGACAGGACAAAAGGCCCAGAATGCAGCTCAGTGGGAAGGCCCTGGGCTCTATCCCTTGTACTGCTAAGAAAGGAAGGAAGGAAGAGAAAGAAAGAAAAAGTACTAAATATTATGTAGGTCTGTATAAGTCATTTGCTTTTAAAAGGTTGTGGCAGCAGGCAATGTTGGGGCCCATGTACAGTTAAGATTTGTTTGTTTGAAACAGGGTTTGCTGTGCATTCCAGGATAGCCTTGAACTCTCCGCAGTCCTCCTGCCTCAGCCTCCCTAGTGCTAGGATGACAGGCATGTGCTACTACCATGTCAGGCCTGAGTTAAGATTTTGTGTGAAGTTTTAAGTTTTTTGAGCTAGGCTGAGAGGATTTTGATGCAAGAGGTGCCTTGGGAAAGGGACTGTGCGATGGGAGTAGTTCGTTATCATCAGGCCAAGGGCCCCACTTCGAAAGAGACTCAACCTGGCAAGCACAAAGTTCTGAGTTAAATTCCCTGTACAAAATAAACAAAACACCAAAAACAAACCAACAAACCAACCAACCAACAAAGACGAAATAAACAAACAAGAGACACAAAACAAGGACCAGTAAAACTCTCTGGCATAGTAGGACTAATCAGGCCTGGGGTGGTGTTTACGCCCAGGCTTGCCTGGGTCTGATAAGGGATGGCGTCACTGCAGGTCATTCTGGAGGGTATAACCTGTTTGGGGGCGGGGTGGGAACCCGCGTGATCCCTATTCCCAGGGCTTTAGACCTGCCTAAATACAAAACCTCCACCAGGATCCCTTTCCCAGAAGTCTCTATTGGTCCTGTCTGCATCTCCTGCTTCTCTTCTGTGTCCCGGCTACACTTGTCGCTCACCTGCATGTAGCCAATCAGCACTCGTAGGTTTGGCACCAATAAACGAGCAGACTCAGGGTGGGGGCGGGACTTTAGTTGTAAATGAGCCAATCGCTCATCTCTAATAGCTGGCAGCGCAGGAGGCGGTTACTCGCGCGCTTGCTTCCTCAAGATGGCGGCGTCCAAGGACGGTTGTGGCTCCGGAGAAGTGGCTATGGGGAATGGGCGGCGGCTCCACCTGGGAATTCCTGAGGCTGTGTTTGTGGTAAGGGTGCCACCGTCCCTGGCATCCTGGTTTGAGGCCGAGGACTGTTTCCTTTTGGCCCTCGTCAGAGCCTGGACTGTTGAGGGGAAGGAGCTGAGCCTAAGGTCCACGTAGGGAGCCCACGGCCACTCTCCCTCCTCCTCAGTACCGACAGAGTTCTGTAGAGCTCTTCCGGAAGAAACACGGCCTGAAAAAGACCGTGGGAGCGCGGAGGCCACAGGCTGGGGCGGGCATCCGCGGAGCGCGAGGCCGGCAGAGTCGCATCCACAGCCGGGGGTTGGGGGAAGCCGGGCGGGCGCGTGGAGGACGGGCCGTGGGGACTAGGTGGCCTTCGAATGTCTCCGCGGGAAGTGGCAGAGGGCTCTGTTGCGAAGGAAAGTCGGTTGTGCCGGCCGGCGAGCGTGTGCCGTGCGGGTGGGACTGGGGTGTAGGCAGAAGGCTGCCATCAGGTGTTTGAGAAAAACCACGCTGTAACCCTGCTTGCCCCTAGGTACGGGGATTGCATAGCGTGGTAGAGAGTGCGGTGCTCGATTTTGAGGGCAAAGGTGGGGAATGCAGTTTAAAGGTGTCACAGAATCGGAAGACCAAGCCATCAAACAAAGAGAAGCAAGTAGAAGCTGTGGACCTCAGCCCCTCATCAAACTATCGGCTGGGAAGCTATTAAAAGAATGACAGAAACCGCTGAATGGCTTTCCTCTTGTATCGAGCTACTATAAAAATCTAAGGGGATGTTCTCTATCTTTTTGTTAACCATGTCTAACATCTTTAAAGCAACCCATTTCTTATTTAGACCACAGTTTCTTGTATATTTGCATTTTTGGATTGAGTTTTATAATTTTCCTTCTGTGTTTTCTGTCAGAGAAGCTGTGCCATTTATTTCTTTACATTTATCTCAGCGGATTGTAACAAGAAATAACATTTGCTGAATGTGAGGTATTTTCTTAATTATTTTACAAAACTCCAGGAGATGGTTTCTGTTATTGTTATTATCGTTTTGTGCATAATGAAAGAGAAATAGAGCCCTTAAGTAACCAGTCGCAGATGGGAGAGGATGTAGAGCAACCTGTGAGCTCCAGAGCCTCTACTTACTCTCATACTCTGCTGCTGGGAGGACAGTAAGGCATTTCTCTTCCTTTCTGTCATTTCTCCTAGTCTTAGGGTGATGCCAGATATGTACTATAAGTTAGTATACTCCTAAATTAGTACAACATCCATAGCGCTCAGCTGGAGATGATTTCAGAAGTCTAATTCAGGAAAACAAACTTTATCTCAAGATTTTATAAAGTCTTACAATGCCTTTCCCCCTAAAATTTTAATGGGTTATTTTTTTCTAGGCTTTAAAACTTTACCTAACATAATATCATAAGGAACCCAAATTTCACATAATTTTTGTTCCCAAACTTAACAGTGATACCATATTATAGAGAGAACATAAAATTCTACATAGGTGAGGGTTTGAAACCTACCTTTGTTTCCCAATTGCTGCTTAGCCTTGAACGTAGGACTTTGGCACTTTAAGCCTGTTTCTTTAGCTTTCAAGTATAGTAGGTGCTGAATAGATGTTATTTTCTTCACTGGTAACAGGCTGTGTATCACAATTGTTAAGTTTTGCCTGGACTTTTCCCCAACTCTACTGGTACAGTAATCTTTTTTTCTTTCATTTCTTGAATTGTCTTTTTTTTTTTTACCATTAATCTATCTGGTGTATTCTTTATTGTTCACTGTCTGGTTCAGTTATTACCGCCTTGAAGTTTTTCCAGAATTTATTATTTTTTTTCTGACCTGTATTTTAGAACAAAATTCTTGGTGGTTTTTTTTTTTTTTTTTTTTTTTTGCGGAACTGGGATTGAACTCAGGCCCTTTCACTTGCCATGGAAGAGCTTATTCCACTGAGCCATCTCCCCAGCTCCTTTTGGTGTTTTTATATTCCCACAGCACAGTGTATTACAGAAAGTGTCCATATATTTTCATCTATTTCCTGATCCTTATCTAATAAATAGCTTTTCTTTAAGGACTAGGTAGCACACATTAACTTTTTTAAAATAGTAAACTTTTGCTTATTTATTTCAAGTGATTGTTCTGTTTGCCTTTTAGGCTTACAGTACTTTGTTTCAACTACCTCATACTTAAGGAAGCCTTTGTGGTTCACCTTGGGAACCTGGTGATCATACTTACCATGATTTCTGTTGTGTAACTTATTGAATTGAAAATAAGTCATCAGTAATTTCAACATATACTATGTTGAATCATTTTATGACTGGGGCACACAAATGGGCAATGTCTTTAATTACTGGTAATTTTTTTTCCTTTTTTGTTCTTTTTGAGACAGGGTCTCACTATGCAGTTCTAGCCGGCCTTGAGATTGCTTTATAGCTCAGGCTGGTCTCGAACTCACAGAAATCCTCCTGCCTCAGTCTCCTGAGTGCTGAGAGTACAGGCATATGCCACCATGCCCAGCCTGATGACTGGTAATTTTCATATATGTATATATAT